CAAGCACTAGCATGTACAATAGCCTCCAGCATGGGGCAGTTCGGTAAAGTCTATAAGCAAATTTTCACAAGGTATGGCTCTTTTTACTGTTTAAGTTGCTTAGAGGGGGTTTTCTCCCCACCACTCCCCCTTTGTAACTCTATTTGGTGGCTTAGCCTTCAGTGAGAAATTGGAATCCAGATACGGCAGAATCTTGCTGCTTTTAACTTCTAATGTGACCATGGGCTCCTGGGAGCCTAATGAGAAGGTGCCGGGTCTGTCCTAGTCTTCACATTCTTCAGCTCCTGTCAGTCTGATCAGATCAGTATTTGGTTCCTTCAAGGTGCGGCAGCCCTTGGCCATTTCCTTTATTGCCTTTTTGAACATTTATCTTTCTAGTGTCCTTTCTTTTTGCATCTTGCACATTAATCTCTCTCTAGCCTTGTCCGGCTCTTGAATCCTTGCCTAACTTGACTTCTTTCACATTTACATCCACGTCCACGTCTTCTCACATGACTAATTTCTTTTTTTTTTTACACTTACTCTTAGTCTTTCTTTCTCTTTTTGCTCTTTCCCAGTTTACTGATGCCCAAGGCTGGTCCCGGAGGTCAGGTCTGCTAGAGTAAACTGAGTCCAACACTTTTACACAGTCATGCTTGACAGGGCTCTGTGATACTGGGAGCAAGGTGGTGGGTTCAGGGTGTTACAAACTGCAATGGTTATATGGGGATTTTCACAGAGCAAACTTTGGTACTTGGTGAGTCTAGCATTCGTTAACCAATGATGTCCTTTAGTATTCATTAAAGTCACCACAGCATGGGGGGCCTTTATGTTCAAGTTTTGCCTAAGAGTCAGCTTATCTGCTTCTTGTACTAGCAGGGCAGTTGCTGCCAAGGCCCTCAAACATGGAGGCCATCCTTTAGAAACCCAGTCTAGTTGTTTAGAGAGGTAGGCCACAACCTCGGCCAGGGCCCCACAGTTTGGGTTAAAACTCCAACTGCCATCTTTTCTCTCTCTGACATATACAATGTAAAAGACTTTGTCAGATCGGGTAGCCCCAAGGCTGGGGCTGACAGAAGTTTTTTTCTTTAACTTACAAAAGGCTTGCTGTTGTTGGGATCCCCATTCAAAAGGTTCCCAGTCCCCCACTTTGTGACCTCATACAAAGGCTTGGCTAATATTGCAAAGTTTGGGATCCACAGTCTGCAAAACCTCACAGCTCCTAAGAATTCTCTCAGTTGCCTTCTGCTCTTAGGCTCCGGTAGATTGCAAATGACCTGCTTTCTTTCTGATCCCAGGCTGTGCTCCCCCTGTCGGATAGTAAATCCCAGGTAACGTACCTGTTGTCAGCAGATCTGAGCTTTTTTTCTTGGACACTTTATACCCACAGTCCTTCAGGTGCCTAAGTAGGGCATCCGTTCCCTTAGCGCACTCGACTGCCGTGGGGTGTCCCAGCAGAAGGTCATCGACGTACTGGAGCAACACGCAGCCTAGGTCTCTGGTGGGAAACTTCTGGAGGTCTCGAACCAATGCCTCCCCGAAGATGGTGGGGGAGTTCTTGAACCCTTGGGGAAGCCAGGTCCAAGTGTACTGAGTAGTGACACCTGACTCTGGATCTTCCCACTGAAAAGCAAACAGCTTCTGGCTCTCGGGGGCTAATCTGATGCTAAATAAAGCATCTTTCAGGTCCAAGCAGGTGAACCAGCTGTCCTCAGCTGGCAACAACCCCAACAACGTGTACGGGTTAGGTACTGTTGGATGTAAAGTCACTGTAGCTTGATTAACCAAGTGCAAATCCTGTACTGGCCTGTAGTCCTTGGTCCCTGGCTTGGGAACCGGCAGGAGGGGAGTATTCCATGGAGACTGACAATAAACTATAATTCCAAAGGTTCTTAGGTGCTTGAGATGGACCTGGATACCTTCAAGAGCTTCTCTGAGGACTGAGTACTGTTTTTGCCTAACCGGCTGTGCCCAGGCTTAACTTCTATAAGTACAGGGGCTTGGTTGACGGCCAACCCTGGAGGGTTGTCTTACGCCCACACTTTTGGCCACCACTTAGCCAGAGCTGGTCTTATCTCTTGGCTCAGCTCAGTTAAGAAAAGTCTCCATTCTTCCTCTCGGGATACCTTAAGGGTCATAATGACTCCAGTTCCAGGTCAGTTTAGCAGCAAAGAGCCATGCTCTGTAAAAGAGATAGTGGCTCTCAGCTTGCTAAGCAAGTCCCTTCCCAACAAAGGCAAGGAACAGTCAGGCATGTACAAAAACTGGTGAATCACTTTATGTCCTCCTACAGTACAAGTCTAAGGCAAGCAGAAAGCTTGCTTTGCTGAAACCTCTGTGGCTCCAATTATGCCAATAGTCTTTTTGGATAAGGGGACGACTGGGGTGGTTACTACAGAATGTTCAGCACTGGTATCTACAAGAAAATCAATGTCTTTCCTGTTTTCCTTTTAGCTGAGGGCATTTGTTCTTCCAGTGTCCCATTTCTTTACAATAAACACACTGGTTACTCTCAGGGGCATTTGTACCCCAGTTTTGGGTCATAAACCAGCTGCCAAGAGAGGGGTTTCTCCCGAGGCTTCACCTCCTCTCTTGTCTACTCTGGGTGGCCTAGGGATATGTTTGTCTTGCGGAGGCACAAGCACTGTGGGCTCAAGAGTGGGGAACCTCTCTCCCTGGTAAGGGGAGGGCACCACTGGGATCACTGGTGCCATCTCCTGCAATGGATCTTCTGATGTTGGGTCGAACAGAACTTCAGGAGTTGATTTCCTTCGGTGAGTGGAGCGGGATCCTTCCTTAGTTGTCTGTCCCTTTGCTGCTAGCACTGCTGCTGCCTGCCCTCTTAGCCAATGTGGGGGGTTCTAGCACCAGTTGTAACCAAGTGTCTATGTATGGGAACTGGTCTGAGTATCCTGACTTACCAGTTACCTTGTGTCATACCTTAGAAACAAGGAACCTGTCCAGGCTTCCTTCTGATGGCCAACCCACTTCTAATGATGGCCAATCTATTTCACACAAAGTTCTAAGTTTTCCTGATGTCATAGTAACCCCATAGTCTCCATTAAATCTCTTCTTAAAATTTTTCAACATAGTTCCTAGCGGAATGGGCTTACTTTGTGTCTGATCCATGTTTCCTTGAGACAAAACACCACACTCACACCACACACACACCACAAAACAAAGAATGGATAAAACGGGCACACACACATCTTTTCAGTTTATACCAAACCAGAATCAAAACCAAAATCAGAGTATCCAGAAATTCGAGCCAGGTCAAAACCAAAACCAAAGTGTCGAACAATTCAAGTCAAGTCAAAAACAAAAACCAAAGTATCAAGCAATCAATTCAAGTAAAACAAAAACCAAAGTGCCGGTACAGGCACGCCATGGGTAATCAGGCCACCCACACATCTCTCTGAGCCACAGAAGAGACCCAGCTCAAACCCATGACGTACGAGACATCCATACTTGGCTTGTGGCTGAAGCCCCGATGGGTTGGGGTGGTGGACTCACATTTTGGGTAACATTCACAGACATCTTCTCTGATAGAAAGTGGGTGCTGGGGGCAGGGGGAGTGTTATCAGCACAGAATTAAATTCTGCCCCCTTATCCATATTTTACATTCTGATTTTATTTCATATGAGTTATAAAATCTTTATTATGACAACTAATAGGTCAGTTCTTTTCCAAATTTATTGAAGAAATCGTGTTGCCTTCCAAGACAAATTGCACTTTTTGATGTTGAAAAGAATTCCATAAGGATCATTCCTAAGTCCATAAAATATCATCGAAAGCAGCTTGTTCTGCAAAGATCTCCATAGAAAGCAGCTGAACTTGGAAAGAAGCTAATGATTGCGGGGAAAAATTGTAGGAGGAGAAGGAAAACCAAAATCATGGAAAGATAACTTCCCAAGGAACACAAGAGAAAAAGAAAGGCTGGAGGAGAGAGAGGAAAATTAAGGAGGAAAGAGGAATGCGGAGCGTGTCGGAGGCAGACAGGATCAGGGGGATGGTGCTGGTCCAAAACTCCACCCGCGGTTCTTTGAGTCTCTGTCCGAGGCTCATGTTCAAGTCCAGCTGCAGGTACTGCTCGGTCAGATTATAGGCTGGCCACAGAGGCAAGTCGTCCCCATTGGGATTCCTGGAAGGGAGAGCAGAAACAGGGGTGAGATTTTCCTCCTCACATCCCAGGCCTTGGCATGGGGGAGACTGGGAAGTTTACATACCCAGTTCGAGCAAAGGTAGCCCAGTATTTCATCATCTTCCGGCTCAGCAACTTCTCCTCCTCCGTGGCTCCTTCTGAAGGAGATAATCACAAAACGCTGCTGCTCTCGGTGAGGCTGGGAAAGCCCGAGGTGCCTTGTATTTGATGAATCCCTTTCACACCCCTCCTCCCACTGGAACCTTACAAGCCTACCAAGTCACCCTACCCATTTTACACATGCAGATACTAAATCTCAGAGCAATGGGCACCTGCCCAAGGAATTGTGGCTTCCGAATGGTGGAAGCTGAACACACATCTTCCCTGTCCACCCCATGTTCCTGCAGCCAGTCCCATGATGCTGCAGGTTCCCTGGGGACACAGACCAGCTTGCTCCCTCTCTCTGTCTCTGTTTTCCCCCCTCTCTCTCTTCCTTCTCTCCATCCTCTCTTCTTTCTCTCTCCCCATCTCTGTCTTCCATCTCTCCATCCTCTCTTCCTTCTCTCTCCCCATCTCTGTCTTCAATCTCTCTTCCCTCTTTTTCTTCTCTCTCTCCCCTCTCTCTTTCTTCCCTCTCTCTTCCTTCTCTCTCCCTCTCTCTCTCCCTTCTGTCTTTCTTCCCTGTCTCTCTGTTCCTTCTCTCCCTGTCTTCCCTCTCTCTTGCTTCTCTCTTTCCTCTCTTTTCTTTCTCTCTCTTCCTCTGCCTCTGTCCTTGAACACACATTTTTACAATTAATTTTTGTATTTCTTTATATAAAAAGTAGAAAATCCAAAATGCAGAAAGAGCATCTAATATCCAATGAAAATGTTTCCCTTTCATCTCTTCCCTGCAGACACCCAGTGACGAGCCTCAGAGGCACCTTCCCAAAGACAGGCTCTGCAGGTTCCAGGGTATAAACGGACACCTTTCTACACATCTGGCAGGAGACTGGACACGTATTCTACATATTGCTCTTTTTATTAAAATTGATCTCATATATAGGACTTGTCTCTTATCAAACTGCCATTTGTTGTTCTATGAACATGTAATATGTAAATACATATTTACATGCAATTATATATAAATATATAATGTATGTGTCATGTTTCCAATCTTTTGCTGGTAAAAGCAGTATTTTAGTGTGCATATATATTTTGCACATGTGGAGGTATACTTACACAAAAACTCTAGAAGTAGAATTGACAGGCTAAAAACTATATGCGTTTTAATCTACGTTATTTATTTTTATAAAGATGGAGTCACACTCTGTCACCCAGACTGGAGTGCAGTGGCACCATCATAGCTCACTTCAGCTTCCAACTCCTGGGCTCAAGCAATTCTTCCTGCCTCAGCCTCCCAAAGTGATGGCATTATAGGCATGAGCCACCACACCTGGCTAAGACTACATGCATTTTTTTATTTTATAAAATAAAAACAATTTTTGAGACAGGAGTCTCACTCTGTTGCCCAGACTAGAGTTCAGGGCCATGATCATAGCTCACTGTAACCTCAAACTCTTGGGCTCAAGTGATCCTCCCACCTCAGCCTCCTGAGTAGCTGGGACTACAGGTGTGTGCCACCATGCCTGGCTAATTGTGTTTATTATTATTATTATTATTATTTTGTAGAGAGGGGGTATTACTATGTTGCCCAAAATGTTCTGGAACTGCTGGACTCAAGCAATCCTCCTGCTTCAGACTCCCAAAGTGCTGGGATTACAGGTGTGAGCCCCCATGCCCGGCCTTACATGCATTTAAATGTTGATAGATTTATCTATTAATGTATAAAATTGTTTCTCACACCAGCTAGAATACATTATTTTAAGTGTTTTGTTTTTTTCAACTTTGATTGATGAAGAATAATTCCTTGGTAAGGATGGTCTGCAGTTTTCTTGTTATGAGGGAGGTTGAGCGGATGTTCATATGTCTAGAAGGCACTTGTGTTTTCTTTTCCACGAACTGTCTGTTTGTATCTGTTACCCAGTTTTCAATTAGGTTATTCTTTTCTTACGAATTTTCCTCTTTAGACATCAAGGAATTTCACGTTTTCATACATATGTTGTTCACTTTTTCCAGTTTAGGGAGTCCCTGTGCCATTACATAGTATGGGCTCAGGAATGGTTGCTGAGAAATAACAGTGACATTTATTAGCTATTCACTCTTACTTTATGGGGCTTATTTTATTTAGTCCTTATGACAACCTAGGAGGAAGTTCTTTATTATCTGTGTTGTAAGATGAGGATGAAACACTGAAATAATGAATAAACCACAGTGCACAAACACACTCTATATGGAATGTTCTATCCTCTTTGTCAGGAGGCCAATGTGAGTAAGTTAAGAGCCTGCATTGTGTAATGTTTCTAACTAAATAGTTTAGTGATAGCTCCTGTGTGTAATTTTCCCTGCAAATTTTTTCTATTGATAACCTCATCTGGTTGGTTTATTTTAGGCACCAAATATGTCATAAATTTAAGAATAAACGAGCTAACATCACAAGTAACAGTTCACAAGGCTTTACATGAGCTCATCGGGGTGCAGACCACTTGGAGCTGGAATTATGTAAAACATGGTCCTTGCCTCTTAAAGCCTCAGATTGTGGCCTCATGGGATTTCTGGGAAGGGAGGGGAGGGTAAGACCCGTGGTCAAAGAAAAGGAAGAAAATGGTTCTAACATATATATATATATATTTTTTTAAATTATTTAGATTGCTTGAGCACTCTGAAGTGGCCACACCTGTAGGTTTCAGTACAAAGAGAAGCCCTCATCAAGCAACTGTCACGGTGCTTTTTCATCTTGGCTTCTAAAAATGGAAGTGAGGGCATTTTCCAGAGAAAGGTTGCATCCGCCTGTAAACCACAGAGGTGATTAAATGCCAACCCTGAAGTCCTCCGGGCTCTTGCATAGTGGTGGGGTAAGCAGGGGGCTTCATGTGAACTGTGGGGAGTGGCCAGTCCCTTACCGAACATAACAATGTCACCCTTCAGGAAGGCACCACCGAACACAAAGCGGACTTCATCAGCGTGGTCGGCTTTGACAAAAGCTGGCTTCGTGTCTTCAAAGCACTGGGGCCGGTGCCGAAACTCATAGAAGTAGACAGGTGCACCAGCATCTGAACAAAGGTCAGGGAAGGTCAGGCATGCAGGCAGCGTGGAGCAGGGGGCTGGCTCTGTGTCCCCATCTATCAATGTATAGACCAAGGGGTGGGACAGCTCAGAGACAAGAGGCTACCTAAGCCAGCCTCACTTCCCCCTTCCTCATCTGAGGCTGGAATTTCCTGTTACAGCAGAGCTTATATCCCTGGTGATGAAGAGCTCACGTCTGAGAAGTCAGTAGTTCTGCTTCTCAAAAAACGTCCTCCATATTCAACCAAGATCTACCTCGTTGGGACTTTCTCTCAAAGTTCAAATCTTTTACCCATTCTTGGAAAATACTTTCTTTTCATTACTGAATTGTAAGGGTTCTTCTATCTGGATATGATGATTTTGTCAAATAATTGTATTATGAATATTTTCTCCCAGTCTGTGGTCTACCTTCTCATTTTCCTAACAATATTTTTAAGGTAAATGTACATAAGTGAAATCTGCCACTTTAACTATTTGAAAGTATATAATTCAGCGGTTTTTAGTACATTTAGGATGTTGTGCAACTATCACCACTATTTAGGTCCAGAACATTTTCATCACCCCAAACAGAAACCTCAGACCCATTTCGCAGTCACTACACAGTTCTACTTTCTGTCCCTATGGATTTGCCTAATCTGAACATTTCGTATAAGTGAGGTCATACAACATGTGGCCCTTTGTGCCTGACTTCTTACACTTAGCATAATGTTTCCAAGGCTCATCTGTGTTGTAGCATGTATTCATATTTCATTTCTTTTTATGGCAAACTGATAGTCCATTGTAAGTATATACTGAATTTTGTTTATTGATTCATCAGTTGATGAACACTTGGGTTGTTACCATTTTGGCCTATAATGAACAAGGGTGCTATGAACATTCACATACAATTTTGTAGAGTATACCCCTAGGACTGGATTTGCTAGGTTATATGGAAACTATGTTTAACTTTTTGAGCAACAGCCACAACATTTTTCCACAGGGGCTGCACTGTTTTATGTTTCCAACAGCCGTGTATGAGAGTTTTGGTTTCTCTATACCCATCACACTTGTTCTTATTCCTTTTCTTTTTTAAAAAAATTATAGCCACCCTAGTATATAACACATGCAAAAGAATAAAGGTAGATTCTTCCCTCATACTATATAGAAAAACTAACTCAAAATGGATCAAAGACCTATATTTAAAACTAAAACTGTAAACCTTTATATGAAAATATAGTGGTTAATTTCCACACCCTTGAATTTCGCCGTGGATTCTTAGATATGACACCAAAAGCACAATCAACAATAAAAGTGGATGAATTATATTTCATCAAAATTAAAAACTACTGTGCAACTTTGGTGCATTATCAACAGAGTAAGAAGGCAACCCACAGAATGGGAGAAAATATTCGCAAGTCATATATCTCATAATATCTCATAAGGGATTAATTTCTACTACATATATATAGTAGAAATTACTATACTATATATAGTTCCATATATATATATATGGAACTCTTAAAACCCAACAACAAAAAACAATTCAATTAAAAAATGGGCAAGGGTCTTAAACAGACATTTCTCTAAAAACATATATACAAACATCCAATAAGCACATGAAAAGATGCTCAACATCTCTAATAATTGGGAAAATGCAAATGAAAACCATAATGAGATACTACCTCAAACCCATTAGAATAGTCATTATTTAAAAAACAACAACAGAAAATAACAAATGTTGGTCAAGATGTCGAGAAATTGTAACCCTTGTGCATTGCTGGTAGGAATGTAAAATGGTTCAGACACAGTGGAAAGCAACATGACAGTTCTTCAAAAAAATTAAACATAGAATTACATATGATCCAGCAATTCTACCTCTGCCATATACCCCAGATAACTGAAAACAGGGACTTGAACAGATATTTCTACAACTATATTAATTGCAGCATTATAGTCAATAGCCAATTGTAGCCAATAGCCAATTGTTATTGCACAATAGCCGAAAGGTGGAAACAATGCAAATGTCCATTAATGAATAAATGGATAAACAAAATGTGATCTATACATACAATGGAACATAATTCAGCCTTATAAAAGGAGGAAATTCTGATGTATAGTACAGCATATAGGAATCCTGAGACCTTATGCTATGTGAAATAAGCCAAACAAAAGGACAAATACTGAATGATTCCATTTACATTGAGTAACTAAAGTCACTAAAGTAACTAAAACGTCAATCATAGAGACAGAAAGTAGAATGGTGGTTATTGAGGTCTGGGGAAAAGAGGAGTGGGGAGTTATTTTTAATAGGTACTGATTTTCAGTTTGGGATGATAAAAACGTTCTGAAGATGTATAGCGGTGATGGTTGTACAACAATATGAATGTACTTAATACCACTGAACTATACACTTAAAATGGTTAAAATGGGAAATTTTTTATTAAGCATATTTACAATTTTTAAAATGTAAAAAAGAGTATGCCATTTCATTTATAAATGTTTACGAATTTTCCAGATTTCCTTTTGTTATTGATTTCTAATTTCATTCCCTTGTGGTTGAAGAAGATACTCTGCATGATTTCCATCCTTTTACATTTATTGGGATTTGTTTGATGGCCTAACATATGGTTGATTCTGGAGGATGTTGCATGTGCACTTGAGAAGAATGTGGAATCTAATGTTATGGAGTGGAGTATTTGTCTGCCTTTAAAATAGTTGAATTAAAGTCTATTACTTTAGGAATCCATTACTCCTTATAGCTAAAATGTTCCATTACTATGTATGGCTAAGATGTTGGGGAAGACATTTCTAGAAAGAAAAAATCCCGGGGGACAGCGCCTAGAAAATTATAGGGAGATGAGAATTTTCTACATGGTCCTGAAGAAGGGGAAGAAACAGAAACAACTGATCAACATTCCCAAACTCTGAAAGGCAGGTGAATGACACAGGTCCCCGTGGCACGTTCCCATCCAGACACAGACACTCTCTCTGTGAGGGAACAGAGGCAGAGGAGGCAGCCAGTCAGTAGACAACATGGATCACCGTGGCCACCAGCCTCGCTGGGCTGTGGTCCTGGAGCGGGGTGCCCAGAGACTCACCTCGGTGATATCGAGCTGTAATCAGTGCAGGGACCACAAAGAACACATCTCCAAGCAAGTCCAGAAGACCGTCTCGGATTTCAGTCAGGGAGTGCTTGTCATGGAAGTATTCATTAGCCACAAGGTGCAAATACTGAGGCGGGATGTGCTGTAAAAAAAAATCTTAGTCATAGGAGATCCAGATCAACCACAGTGGCCAACACGTTAAACACTCACCTGTGCAGGTATGATTCTGAATGCTTTACCCACATTGCTTCATTTAATCCACACAGCAACCCTATGATGCAAGTATCAAAACTAGCCCCGTTTCACAGATTAAGAAACTGAGGCTTAGAGAGGTGAAGTGGTTGGGCCCCAACTGGAAGAACCATGATTCTTTCACAAGTCTATTTGCATCCAAATCCCATGCTCCTGACCACAGGCCTCTCTCTCTCATGTCTCAGAATGAGTCAGTCCTGGGCAAAACTGGCTGCATCATCTGTGGAGCTCAGTGCAAAGTAAAAACATAAACTCCTTGTTAAAAAAATCATTAAGAATTTCAATATGGTGACAACGGTGCATTAAACCAAATGTAGGACCCTTCTGAGCAACAGGGTCCTCTGTGACTACACAGGCAGAACATCCATGAAATCAGCCCTGCTCCTGGTACCAGCACTGCCTCCAGCCCTTAGCTATTATCTTACCTAAGCTAGTTGGTTTCTTGGAGCCTCAGTTTCCTCATCTGTAGGGATGTAGAGGATTATATGAGATGTGAAGAGAGAAGTATGCTGCTTGGCCCAGAGTAGGTATTCAGTCCTGTTGGTTCCCCCAGGCCCCATTGCTGAGTGCCTTAATAGGACATTCGATGCTTCTCTGACCTGGCAACAGCCTGCCTCCCAGGCTTCTCCCTCTCAACTTCCCCCAGGCACTAATGGCAAAGAGTGCATGGTAAATTCCATGAAGATTCAGGGATCTGGTGCTCTAGGAAATGCTGGAAAGGTGTTGCAGCTCAAACCCGTACCACTAAGACAGCAGCCACAGCCCTTGATGGGTTTCTTTGGAATTTGGAGGCGAGGCAGTGTACACCACATTGGAGAATGCTGCTCAGACTCGTTTATCGGGTCCTCAGGAGGCTGGTGGTTTTTAATCAGGCCAGAGCAAGGGAGGCCTCTGCAGTAGGTCCAGTTTATGGCGTAAGGGCCTGGCCTCTTTGGCCATATAACCAGCAGAACCCATAGTGCTGGAGGTGTCCAAGGTGGGTATAGATGCTGTGTGGAGTCTCAGGTGAGTCCCCATAGGACAGTCAGAGTGCAAAGTCCTAGGGTTCTGGGGTAAGGCTATGCCTTCTGCATCAGAGAACTACTTACTGTTTAAAAAGTAGCCCCTAGCATGCTACCGTGCCTAGGAGAAACACATGCCCTTCCATTCCTCTTGCACTTTCCCGCACAACCTACTTCCCACTCTACTTGAAATGTCCTTCTGCTCAGTTGTTCCCCTCCCCTAAGGATCAGATCAATGAGCATCTTCTCCATGAGGCCATCTCCAGTCCACCTGAGAATCCCACTGTATGATTTATAACATCAATATCTCTCAAACCTTAGTCCCAATTCATCATCAGACAGCTGCAACTCGTCAAACATCCCTCCACCGGGGGGGCCTGAGGGATCTCCGCCTGTAGTGTTTCTTCTGTTTTCCTTCTTCTTTTTTTTTTTTTTCTTTTTGAGACAGAGTGTCTCACTCTGTTGCCAGGCTAGAGTACAGTGGAGAGATCCTGCAGCCTCAAACTCCCAGGCTCAACAATCCTCCTGCTTGGCCTCCCAAGTAGCTGGCACCACAAATGCATACCACCAGGCCTGCCTAATTTTTTTTACTTTTTGTAGAGACAAGGTCTCCCTGTGTAGCCCAGGCTATTCTTGAACTTCTGGGCTCAAACAATCCTCCTGCCTTGGCCTCCCAAAGTGTTGGGATTACAGGTGTGAGCCACCGTGCCCAGTTTCAGAGGGCTTTTCCTGAAATAGAAATCAAATCATGTCCTTCTTCCTTCTGTTCTCAGTCTTTAGGACGAAGTGTATGCTCATTACATAGCTTACAACAGATGAAAGCATTCTCTCCTGCTGCAGCCAACCCTCAGCTGATCTCTTCACACCCTCTGCTCCCAGCTGGTACTCTTGGTTCTTCCCAGTTTATCCACCCACCCATTCCATCACCAGACAGGCTCCATTAATCTTCCATAACGCTTCTCCCCAAGAGAGCTGCCTGTCCCCTTCTGTGTGCACCACAGAACCTTGGACATTGCTGTGCTTCGTGTGTACTGTATTGAAGTGTCTTGTCATCTCCGTCCACCCCATATTGCACCCCAGTGCCCAGGGAATGCAGGGGCATGTGGACTCTCGCTAAACATGTGTTCCATGGACAAGTGAACAAAATGAATATTGGCACTGAGTCCACACTGAATAAACGTTTATGGAAAAAGAAGAAGATGGAAAAAGGAGAAAAGAAAGGAAGGAAAACAATCCATCTCTATATCCTAGTGTCTAGAGTAAGACCAGATACTGCTAAGTTTGTGCAGTAAACGAATGAATGAGTGATGGAACAATAAATGAGTGAATGAATGAGTAAATGACTGGTCTTGCCAGAGCCTGGCCTGATGCCTGGCTGGTGTGTGGTGAATACAGGTCCCTAGTCCTGTGTGTGTTTCAGCATTCAGAGCTTTTCAGACTGTAGGTAGATAATGTAGCACCCATGCTGCATGTTATGACACAGGCTCGGGGTGGGGGCAAAACCCCAAAACCCACATTAATGCATCCACAGAGAAACAGCTGAAGAGTGGGATAAATAACATGATAAATGTGTGGGAATGAAAATGACTGATAGCCACAAATCAGTTGAGGTCCAGTTCTGCTCCTGGGTGGGTTACAAAAACCCTCTGGGTTTTTGGAGCTCTTCCAGGTCAGGGATTGTGGATTGGGTTTATGGGCCTATTGACATAGTTTGGACCTGTGTCCCCCACCAAATCTCATGTTGAATTGTAATCCCTAATTTTGGAGACAGGGCCTGATGGGAGATGATTGGGTCGTAGGGGCAGTTTCTCATGAACGGTTAGCACCATCCCTTTGGTGCTGTTCTCATGACACAGCTCTCACGAGTTTTGGTTATTTAAAAGTGTGTGGCACCTCATCCCTCTCTCCTTCCTCCTGCTCTAACCATGTAAGACGTGCCTTCTTCCCCTTCGCCTTCTACCAAGATTGTAAGTTTCCTGAGGCCTCCCGAGAAGCTAAGTAAATGCCAGCATCATGCTTCCTGTACAGCCTGCAGCACCATAAGCTAATTAAGCCTCTTTTCTTTATAAATTACCCAGTCTCAGGTATTTCTTAATAGCAGTGCAAGAGTGGACTAATACACCTGTGCTTAGTAAAGGTCTATTGAATAACTGAGTGAGTGAGGAGTGTCTGTGCCCCTGGCATCTCCCGCTGAGTGTGACCCAGGGCTATCTGTTAAGTGCATGTGTCTCTGGAGTACTGCAGCCTCCCAAGTTACTTACCAGGATGTTTTGTATCAGATGGAGGGCAAGGGACTTGTTGGAGCCACTGAGGATCTCAGGAGCCTCCTTCTGTGGAGAGAAGCAGTGCACTCTGTAAGCCATCCGGTCATCAGAAGGTAAACCCATCTCCCTGAGGGCATGGGCAGCCGACTTTCACAGGGGAAGCTGGATAAGGAGCCCTGAAGCCCAGGCAGCCACATGTGGAAGTGGCCTCAGGTCAGATAGTTAATTTCTTCTCACTTTTGATAAAAGGCAGCTGTTCCCTGTCATTCCACCTGCAGCCTGTGGGGCCTGAGTGGTTACCTTGTGAGAAGGCTCCCATTATGGGCTAAATTGTGGACCCCTCAAAATTCACACATTGAAGCCTTAACCCCCTGCATTTCAGAATGCAACTATTTGGAGATAGTACTTTTAAAGGGGTGATTATGTTAAAATGCAGCTGTTAGAGTGGGCCCTAATCCAATCTGGCTGATGTCCTTATGAGAAAAGAAAGTTTAGACACACAAAGCAATATCAGCACCTTGATCTTGGACTTCCAGCCCCTAGAACTGTGAGAACATAAATATCTGTGGTTTAAGCCTCCCAGTCTACAGTATTTTATTATGGCAGCCCTGACTGCCTAAGAGGCCCCAACTTGGCTTGGACATCAAGTTCAAAGAGAAGCCAGAAAATTTCCATACTGGTGTTTGTTGTTCTCCTTCTCAAGACCTTTGTGGGTGGGGCCTCTGAGAAGCCACAGTGGGAGGTCAGGCAGTGGCGGTGAGGCTGGTGGCTGAAAACACAGGCTCCCTGCACTGCCCTCACCACCTGAAAACTTGGCAAGGGACTCAACTCTTCCTGCCTCAGGCTTCTGATCTGTAAGGTGGAGTTTGCAACAAGTACCTCCTGCGAGGGTGGTGATGAGAACTGAGCGAGTTGATAATTGTAAAGCTCTTACAATGGTACTTGGTACGTAGTAAGCACTTCATGTGATTATTTGTTAAATTGCCATTTTCTGGCAAAATCACAGCTTTAAAACGTGAGGCATCAGAAACACTATCCACGTGGCAAATGAATTTTCTTGGTATGTTTTCTGCTGAAAATCTTGGGGTAATGAATCACTACGGCAGATACTTAAATGAATACTAGGGCCGTACCTGTCTCCTGGAATCTCAGGGAACCCTCAAGTCATTTAAATTACCCACAAGCATATTTTAACTACAAAAACCTTCTCTGTACATTAAGGAGCTGGGATTTGTTTCTCAGGGATTTCCTGTGGTCTCTAACAGCTAGCAATGGGTTTAAAGGCAAATTCACATGGAATTTGAGCACCCACACAGGCTTTTGAGCTCTGCAAATTCTGTTACTTGAATAACTCCAACATCTAGCATTTACTGAGCACTGACAGTATGCCAGGTTGCTTGATGTATACCTGTGAGGCAGGTGCTAAGATGAGCCCTATTTCACAAATGAAGTAGGGGAAGCTCAGAGAGGGTGGGCCACTCCCCTAGTATCACACAGCAGGTAAGCAGAGAACTCAGCATTTAAAGGCAGAGCCTAGGCTGGGCACCACCCCATGCCTGTAATCCCAGCACTTTGGGAGGCTGAAACAGGTGGTCTCCCAAAGTGCTGAGGTCAGGAGTTGGAAACCAACCTGGCCAACATGGTGAAACCCAGTCTCTACTGAAAATACCAAAAAAAAAAAAAAAAAAAAAAAAATTAGCTGGGCATAGTGGTAGGTGCCTGTAATCCAGCTACTCAGTAGGCTGAGGCAGAAGAATCCCTTGAACACAGGAGGTGGAAGTTGCAGTGAGCCAAGATCACACCACTGCATTCCAGCCTCGGCAACAGGGGAAGACTTGACTCAAAAATTTAATTTAATTTAATTTAAAAGGCAGAGCCTAAACACATGAAAATTATACACCACTGTCTCCTTACTAGCCGGGAGATGTCGGAAAGCTGCTTTAGCTGCTCTGATCCTCAGTTTCTTTAAAATAGGGAAAATCATGCCTGTTTTCAAGTTGTTGCTTGGATGGCCTGTGCTTGGCACTGGAAGGCACTGGGGAACTGGTTACAGTAGTTACAGTGCTGGTTGTCATCACTAGCACCTGCCTTCTTCTTTCTAACACACACCCAGAAATCACTGAAATGCCTTACTAAAGCCATGAACTGTGATTCAGTGGCCTCATCTGCAATGTAAGGACAAAAATTCCTAGTCCTACTTCAAAACATTGCCCTGGAGGTCAAATTAATAATGGCAGAACATGCTTTCACAACTCAATGAACTGGGACTCTGGTTCCAGACAACCACCAACTGGCTTTGTAATCTGATCTTCTTTATTTTTTAACCCTATTTTGTCCAGCTTAAAACGAGGAGGTCAATCTATATAAATGAGCTTCAACAGTATTAGGAATTTGAACTCTCCACTCATCCACAGATGAAAAGTTTATTTCCAATGAATAGAGTCTTGCTAAGCCACGGAATCAAAAAAATCCTGGGTCTTTCCCAGCACCTGGGCCTCAGCTCAACAGTCTATCCCTAGAAGAGCCTTTCCTGACCACCTGCTAACCTCCCTAAAGATACATTCTCTCCCCACTTGTGTCCTTCATAGCATCTATCACTCTCTGAAATCGTCTTCTCAACCTCGTGTCTCATCTGTCTCTCCCCACCAGAGTGTAAGCTTCCAGAAAGCTCGATGCTCAGTTTTTATAAGCCTCTAATAAATGCTCAGTACATACTTGTTGAATAAATAAAATGATTTAACAATTTTGCAACTTATACAACCTTAGCATTCTCAGATGTCAAATGCCAGAACTAAGGCTGGACATGAACAGTTTAAAGGACTGAAGTTTTTCAAACCTATCTGAATGTCAGCTCTGAAGTGGTAACTGCATTTTTTGGAAACGATCATTTATAACATTGTCTGAACAAAGACGAAGTGGACCCATCCCCTCTTTCCTTTTTATATAGTTGTTTCTTCCACCCTACACCTCATCACATGAGGAGGAAGGCAGACACTTGTTGTGACTTGACTGGTCCTCACTTGCCCTCTTTCAGAGAGAGGAAAGATGATCACTGTGTGCTTGGCTAGTGGACTTCAGCATTTACGACACCTGCTGTAATCTGTGGAAGTGTCCAACTGTTGAAGCCAAGAGCTGCATCATGGTTTGAGAGAGTGGCAGCATGGACAACCAGAATTCTTACCATAGGCAGCAGGAAGCCACACTCATGGTTATTGACTCCGATGATGGAAGGAATTGCTTTAAATGCTTTCTGAGACAATAGATCTAGAGGCTCATTAGGAAAGAAAGCACCATCAACCACTCGAGTGAAAGACTTTGCTTTCTGTAATAAGGAAGGAAAAAAAAAATCATCAACTATTTCTGTTCACAAAATCTGCTGTCCCAAATCCTGGCCAAGCAAAGCCAACCCAGTCTAGCACTGGTTTAAATGCACTTAACAAGTAAAAACAAACACTACGGGCCCAGCTCAATATATCAGTCCCTGGCAGCTCTGCCATGTACTTGGGCAAGGTGGCTAAAGTTGTCTGTGCCTTATTTTCTCATCTGCTAAATGGGAATAATAATAATATCTACCAAGAAAAACAGTGGCTTGTGACATGGTTTGGCTGTGTCCCCACCCAAATCTTACATTACAGCTCCCGTAATTCCCACATGTTGTGGGAGGGACCCAGTAAGAGGTAATTGAATCATGGGGCAGGCCTTTCCCATGCTATTTTCATGACAGTGAATAAATCTCACGATATCTGATGGTTTTATAAAGCGAGCTCCCATGCACAAGCTTTTTTTTTTTTTTGCCCACCACCATGTAAGATGTGCCTTTGCTCTTCCTTCAGCCTCTACCATGATTATGAGGCCTCTCCAGCCACGTGGAACTGTGAGTTTATTAAACCTCTTTCCTTTATAAATTACCCAGTCTCAGGTATGTCTTTATTAGCAGCATGAGAAGAGACTAATACAGCCTAGCCCAGTGATACTCAAAGTGTGGTTCCTAGACCAGCAGCATCAGCATCATCTGGGAACTTGTTATAGATGCACATTCTCAGGCCCACTTCAGGCTCCTCAATAAGAAACTCTGGGGTGGGGGCGTAGCCCAGGAACCTTCTTGTAGCTGGTCCTCCAGGTGATCCTAATGCATATTCAAGTTTGAGAATTACTGGCCAAATGCAAAGGTAAAAATGGTGGTAGATGGAGTGGTCAGGACTGTAGGGGTTGGTGTGAACATCTTTCTCAAGTGTCTCCCTGAGACACAGTGTCTTGGACATGCCTGGATATATTTTGGGTCTCAGAAAGCAACACTCAGCCCTAATCATGGTTTCCTTAGGTTTTTGTTTTGGAATTTGGGTAGAAAGGAGCATATGAAAGAGTTTGACACTACATCAGGTCCAGGATTTATTATCCATTTCACTGAGTCCAGCATGGCTCAGAGTGACATTCAGTACATACCACACAACTAGCAAATGTTGAAATCTGAAAGATAATGATCTTGATCGTTCAAAGACCATCATCAAAGGCTCTCAAGATTGAAAGGGACATAAAGATCACCCGGTTCAATTAACTGTCACTGACTGAAAGTTTGTCAGAGGTCAGCTAGATTTTGCTTGAATACCTGGAGAGGTGGGCATCTCACCACCTTCTAAAGGAGCCCAGTCATTTTCCAGACAACTGAGGTCTTGAAAAGTTTTCAGTTATGCAGAACTAAAATGACTTCCTAATAGAACTTCCAGCTCCTGATTTTGACTTCAGCTTCTGGAAGCATGCGTAACAAGGGTGGTCCCTCTCTCCAGTGAGATGCTTTCAGGGACTTAGAGACAAGCCTTGTACTTTGCTGAATCTTCTCCAGGCTAAGTGGCACCCCTGCCCCAACAATTTTCTTAAATTACCTACAAGGGTTCTATACCCCTATTTTTTTTTTTTTTTTACAGCTGTTACCAAGTATCCCCAATCCTCCTCTTTTCTATGTTCCAAATCCAAATAAATAACAGAGGGGTAGGATTAGTTAATCTCTCCATTCAAAGGACAAGCCTGCCCCCAAAACTGCCCGCTCTGTCCTCACCTGGCTGAGGGTCAGCAGCTCCTTGGAGGATTTTGTCCTCAGGCACCTCAGCAGGTCCTCAGAGTCTGATGCATTCTTCCCACAGAAATGTGCAACCACCTGCAGCTATTTTGCAGAGAAGGGCCAGGTTAGAGCATGATATTGGAAGCATCTAGGAAAATGGAAGCTGGAAAATGTCCTCCAATCAGACACAGGTTTGTCCTCCATATATGAGTCCATCCTGCTACCCCTACCTAGTCCCACGCCCCTATAATGGAAGGTGCACATGGCGGACAGGTTGCCACTGCATCACCCTCATTCTCTTGCCTGGCTCTCCTTGTCATCTTTAGTGAACACCACAGCTGGGGATGAGAGTTTGCCAGTCTGTGACGGTGGCATGGAATCAAGATTCATGGTCACAAAGAGATCAGTCCTGTGAGCTTGGCTGCATTGGTACTTGGCCCCTCCAAAGTCTAGAAGCCCAATCTTGAGGTGCTAAATAAGACAGAAACACCAAGAGCGAGGAGCAGCTTTGCAAGCTCCTTCATTGTCAGTAGAGGCAGGGCTCCAGATCAGATTCTTAGCTTGTCAGCCCTGCCCAAACCCCAGGCCCACACACAGCTTGGAATGTCCTACCTGTCTTTTTTCCTGCCTCTATACTAATCCTTCTCATTCTTTAATGCCCAACGCCTTCCCTCCACGATGTCCTTTCAGGGCATTGCACCCCCCAGAAACCCCTTCCTCATCCAATCTCCTATAAGCTTGATGTTCCCCACCTTCCATGCCTGGCCCATTGCTGAACATCTGCTTTCCTTGTCACTGAACCTTCCACATTTGTAGAACTCGCTCCCTGAAAGTGATGGTTCTCAATCTTCTGGGAGTCATGGATACTCTGAGAATCCAATCAAAGTCACAGACCCTCTCCCTGGGAAAAGGTGCAAGCATGTGGAGTCTGGCACAATTGTGGGACCACTTCCCAAACCTATCCATGGATTCCAGGATTTAATCCTGTCCATGGAGAGGTGATAAAAAGATTAGATTGCCCTCAAGTTTAGGATGTGCTTTCTCCACTGATAAATCCCAAAGCTCTAACAGAGCAGGGAAAATAGTGGGCACCCAGTGATGTGTGTCAAATGAATAAATATATGCCCAAACTGAAAACAGTTTTATGGAGAATGTTACCAAAATCAATATTTCTGTGTATTGAGGGTATTCTTTTTACAACTTTATAACTCTATGTTACTGCTCTTGGTATACACTGTTACTTTCTGTAAGATGTTTAAGAAAATTTACCACAAAAATGATTAATACTCAAGAGATGGCTCCACAGCCCAGTGCTTAATTAATGTGCATTGAATGAAACAGCTCATTCGTTAACTCATTCATTCAGAACACTTATGGCTGCCTGATATATACCAAGTATTATG